TCACGAGAGTAATTTAAACTTGGGTGAAGAGGCAGATCGACAACCTTTAAACTTGGTTGAGGGGACGGACACGCCACTTTGACCATCTAATTAAGCTACCATGAATTATAAGAAATAAATTCGAATGTGACCATGGCAAACACACTGCTCTTAAGCCCAATTGGGCCATGTTTGCGAATATTATGTTTTTCTTAAAGATTATTTTATTCTAAATCTTATAATTTAGTGTGAGCGATTCGACACGGCCGGTCTGACCCGGACCAACCAGGCTAATTCATGTTAACCAATATAAGCACAACTAACTTTCAAAAAAAAAAAAATGTAAGCTCAACTAACAAATCCAACATTTACTTTGGAATTTTAAACACAAAATAATGAAAGGAATGAAATGAGGAGAGATATCCCATCTTTCGGTCGTTATATTTAATTTTAGGGTAAGACTGTTTCAACATTAGTTAAGTTTTTTTCGTGATCATCTGTAAATTTTGGGACAGACACGCAACAGTCATTGATACGCCACGTGTTTAAAAAAATAAAAATGATTTTAAAAAAAATATTTTAAATAAAATATTTAAAAATAAATATTAAATTAATAATAAATAATATTTTTTTTTTTCTTCTTTCTCTTCTTTTTTTTTTTTTTTTTCTTCTTCTTCTTCTTTCTTCTTCTCTTCTTCTTCTTCTGGGTTCGGTTTCTTTTTTTTTTTTTTTTTTTTTTTCCTTCTTCCTCCTCCTCCTCCTTCTTCCTTCTCCTTCCTCTCCTCTTCTTCTCCTTCTTCTTTCTTCTTCTGTTCTGGTTCGGTTTCTCTCTTTTTTTTTTTTTTCTTCTTCTTCTTCTTTCTTCCTCCTTTTCTCCTTCTTCTTCCTTCTCTTTCCTCCTCCTTCTTCTTCTCCTTCTTCTTCTTTTTTTTTTCTTTTCCTTCTTCCTCCTCCTTCTTCTTCCTTCTTCTTCCTCTTCTTTTCTGGGTTCGGTTTTTTTTTTTTTTTTTTTTTTTCTGTTTTTTTCCTTCTCCTCCTTCCTTCTTAAGAAGGAAGAAGAAGGAGAAGAAGAATGAGGAGGAAGGAGAAGGAAGAAGAAGAATGAGGAGGAAGGAGAAGGAAGAAGAAGAAGGAGGAGGAAGGAGAAGGAAGAAGAAGGAGAAGGAGGAGGAAGAAGAAAAAAAAAAGAAAAAAGAAAAGAGAGAACTAAACCCAGAAGAAGAAGAAGAAGAAGAAGAAGAAAAAAAAAAGAAAAAAAAAAGAAGAAGAAGAGAAGAAGGAAAAAAAAAATATTTTATTATTTAAATATTTTTTTAAATATTTTTAAATATTATTTTTATTTAAATAAATTTTTTATTTTTTTTAATGACACGTGGTGTCCAATCAGGGCGCCACGTCATCACTTAACGGGAGAACTAACAGTTTGACTAACAGATGTATGAGACTGTCCCAAAATTTACACTTTAGGTATGACTCTGGGACGAAAAAAACTTGATGTACTAAATGTTGAAAACCACGAAACATGAGGGTGGTAAACAGTCTTTTATCCTTAATTTTAAATAATAAAATTTACAATGATTTTTATCACACGATATACAATGAACGGATGTGATTAGATAATTATCACAATCCTCACAAAGAAGATCGTGCGATGATCCTCCTGGGAATGAAATTTCATAAAAATATCTAACTTTTCGTCCATAGTACATGAAATGGTCTGAAAAATCAATAGTTAAATTTTTGGGTAAAGTACAAAAAACTACCTCAACTATTGGTGTCACGACACTTTCATACCTCATCTTTTAAAATTGACAATGTCATACTTCATCTTACAAATTTGTGCCAATGTCGTACCTCCGTCATTTTTTCTGTTAATTTCTCAGTTAATTGCTGACGTGGCTTGATTCGAGACCCACTTTCTATTAAAAAATTATTAAAAACTAAAAAAAAAAAAAAACCAAACAAAACTTCCCCCTTGCGCCCTCTCTCTTCTCGCCCATCTTCATCTCTCTTCATCTTCTTCCTACCTACTGCAACCCAAAACAAAAAAAACAAAACAAAACAAAATTTGTCCCTTACCCCCAGGCACCCTCTCTCTTCTCCCTCATCTTCATCTTCTTTCTTCCCCCTATCTGCTGCAACCCAGACAAAAAAAAAAAAAAAAAAACAAACAAACAAACAAAAACTCCCCCCCCCGGCCCCCTCTCTTCTCCCCCATCTTCATCTCCCTTCCTCTTCTTCCTACCTGCTGCAACCCATAAAAAAGAAAAAAAAAACTAAACTTTGTCCTTCCCCCCCCCCCGACACCCTCTTTCTTCTCCCCCATCTTCATCTTCTTTCTTTTTCTTCCCCCTATCTGCTGCAACCTAAAAATAAAAAAATTAAAAATAAAAAAAAAAACTTCCCCCCCACCCAACCTGCAGAAGAAGAAGAGAGAGAAGGGAAAAAAAAGGTCCGCCCCCCCCACCCAACCTGCAAAAGAAGAAGAAAAAGAGAGAGAAGGAAAAAAAAAGGATACCTAGTTCATCCATCCCCCCTCCCCCCCCGGGCGTACCCACCCTTTTCCTTCCACATCCATTCCCCCCATTTTCTCTGCGCCCAAGTTCTTAATGAGATTTGGGTTTTTTTTTTTTTTTTTTTTAGGTTGCAGGTAATGGGTGCGAGGTTGGGTGCAGATGGTGGGTTGGAAGGTGCGGAGGTTGGGTGTGGAGAGTGGGTGCGGGGAAGACAATTTGGATATATATATATTTTCTCTTCTTTTTTCTGGGTTGAAGTTGCAGGAAGGGGGAAGAAGAAGAAGATGTGGAGAAAAGAGAGAAGGGGGGAAGGGGACGAATTGATTGTTGGTTTTTTTTTTCTTTTACTTTTCTTTATTATTTTAATATTTAAAAAATATTAAATGATTTTTTGAGTTTTTAATAATTTTTTAATAGAAAATGGGCCCCGGATCAAGCCACGTCAGCATTTAACTGAGAAATTCACGCCAAGCTAACAGAAGGTATAACATTGGCACAAATTCATAAGATGAGGTATGACATTGTCAATTTTAAAAGATGAGGTATGAAAGTGTCGTGACACCAATAGTTGAGGTAGAGTTTTGTACTTTACCCTAAATTTTTTGTAGATCTAATGAATCTTTGCAACGTTTAAATATTATATAAAATATGTAATACTGAGTTAGAAGTAGCAACTTATTGCTATTGCCTAAGACGTAGCATCGTAACCTCAAAATATCATCAAAAAGTCACAATCTTTGAATGAATATAAAGAGCAAGAAAAAGTTGAAAGTTAAAACTAGGAGTTCGTTTAGACCTGGCAGATATCGCACTTGGGCATGGGAGAGGAAGAGGAAGAGAGAGGGACTCTCTGGTGCTTGCTGGCCAGTTTGTTAGCGGCGTGGATATTCTGGTCGCACGCCCAGCACAATGCCACCTCGTCAGCGCAACACAGCACCTTGGCCTCCACCACCTCGCACGCATTGCACTGTATCTTCATCTCTATCTACAAAAAACCGAAGCCTTTTGGGAAAAGCGTAAAGTGGCTTTCTCTACGGTGGAGCTTTTGAGGGAAAAGGCTAAGAGTTTTGGGAGCAGAAATACAGGAAGAAAAGATGGCGATGTGGGTTTAAGAAGGCAAACCGACTATTGGTTGTTTCACTCAATCTGAAATATCGATAATATCGACGAAATATCAAAGATATTTCGGAACATATCCATGTACATATCATACAAATATCGACAATATCGAATTTGAACCCCTCCCATTTTACTCCTCCAACACTGTAACCACCATATATCACTTATATTTTAGTGATAATATGCTAAAATATTTATACGAGTGACATGTTAACAATTACATGCAAAGTTATTTTGGGGATTTATCATTTAATGAATACTCTTCACAATAAACTTACTCTACACATAGAGATGATGAAGATAGTGAAAATTTTGAACCTCATAGGAACTTTATGTGGTACTAAATCACTCATGTATCTTACCATGCAATGCATAAAGTGTAAAATATTGTAGTAAATCATTATATATAAATGATTATGGTGTGTTTAATCTTTTTTTCATTAATTACTACTTATTTTCTACTGTTTGCCAGCTCGCTGTATAATCAACTTAAATCAGTTAAATTCATCATGTAATGCATTTCCTTCTATTTTTTTTTATAAACTAATAGATAATTGACTAAATAAACATTCTCCAAAGTTTCAATAAAAATTTCCAAGTTTTTCTTACAATTTCCGTGGTTTTATTCAATTTTTATTGATATCGATAATATCCCGATATTTCCATCGAAATTTCCATGTTTTTGGACTACCGATATTCCGATATCATCGATATTTTATACCATAGTTTCACTCAAGGTCTAAAATATCGATATTATCCCGATATTTCCATTGAAATTTTTGTGTTTTTGGACTACCAATATTTTCGATATCATCGATATTTTAGACCTTGATAGGAACTATATGTGGTACTAAGTCACTCATGTATCTTACCATGCAATGTATAAAGTGTAAAATATTGTACTATAAATGATTATGGTGTGTTTAAACTACCTTAATTAATTACTACATATTTTCTACACTCACAATGTTTGCCAGCTCGCTATATAATCAACTTAAATCAGTTAAATCCATTATGCAATGCATTTCCTTCAATTTTTTACGATAAACTAATAGATAATTGACTAAATAAACATCATGCAAAGTTTCAATAAAAATTTCCAAGTTTTTCTTACAACTTTCATGGTTTTTATTCAATTTTTATCGATATCAATAATATCCTGATATTTCCATGTTTTTGGATTATCGATATTTCCGATATCATCGATATTTTAAATCTTAGTTTCACTAACATCCACTATGGCGATGTGGAATATCGACACGTGCTCTTTTGTTGAGCAGCCCGTGCCACGCATGCGCGCCCGACCGTACACACGAGGTAAGGTTCTCTGTGTCGGCAGCGCCAGCATCTACTTGTTAGTAACGAGTGTGAGAATATCTAGTTTGTTTCTTCTCTCATTCTTCTTTTAGGCAGCCAGCTATCCCTTTCCAATCCTGCTTAGTCCTCCCCACTTTATTGATAATCCCCACCAACTCTCTCTCTCTGTCTCGCTCTCCTCTTCCTTCACAACCCAATTCCCAGTTCTCCTTCTCCAAACATGGAACCCATGCTACAGCACCAGCAATCAGCAGGAGGGCCCCGGTTCACTCTGATGAAGCAGTCGTCGCTGGCGCCGGACCGGGACGACTCGGTGACGCCGGAGCCGGTTGACCCTCGCGTGAGGCTCTTGTACATGGCCAACGAGGGCGACTTGGACGCCATTCGGGAGCTGCTCGACTCCGGCATCGATGTCAACTTCACTGACATCGACGGTCGCACCGCCCTCCACGTTGCCGCTTGCCAGGGCCAAACCGACGTCGTTCAGCTCTTGCTCCAGAAAGGCGCCGATGTCGACCCGCGTGACCGCTGGGGCAGCACGGTAAGCAAGTTCACTCCAAATTTTGTCACTTTACTACATTCGCGTGTGGTATGTATATATATGTATGTAAATATATGGTATGTATAGGTTGCTAATAGTGTAGTGACTCTGTGGGTGATTTATTCGTTGAACAGCCTTTTGCGGATGCAATGTATTACAAAAACGATGACGTGATCAAACTTTTGGAGGATTACGGCGCCAAGCCTCGGGTAATTAGTTGGTTGTATGTCATCTAATTGTGTTTGTGAGTGCAAAGTTTGCTTCTTTTGTTTCTTTCGTTTCTAAAAATTGAATAATTTGTGGTTCTTGCAAATATTAGATGGCTCCCATGCATGTGCAAAGCGCACGGGAAGTCCCCGAGTATGAGGTTAATCCCAATGAACTTGATTTCTCCAATAGTGTTGAGATAACAAAGGTAAGTCTCATATGGGAAAGGTCTATCACGTCGGCATTGGGTTTTTTTTTTTTTTTTTTTTTTTTTTTTTTCGAGGTCTAATTAAATTCAAGTTCACTATCACACAATGAATTAGCTTACGAGAAAAGATTCAGTTGATTACGGATTGGTTTTGCTTAAGAAGTTAAGTGTGGCAGTGTAGTGGTGATATTGATCTTTGATTGCATATGAAATGTATGTCAGGGAACCTATCGTATTGCATCGTGGCGTGGAATTCAAGTTGCAGTTAAAATGCTTGAGGAGAAGGTATTCGCTGATGAAGATAAAGTGTAAGTTTGTCTTTATGATAAACTTTTGTGTGAAATTTTATCTCTACTTTACTTTTGTTGTAATTTAGATAATGAATTAAAAGGTCTCGAGTCTTTCTTTTTGGCTGGAGTTTTAATTGGCTAAATGAAATATCAGAAATGCATTCAGGGATGAGCTTGCTTTACTTCAGAAGATACGACATCCAAATGTTGTCCAATTTTTGGGTGCTGTAACACAAAGCTGTCCAATGGTGATTGTCACAGAATATCTAAACAAGGTTAACTGAAACATGTGAAAATTTTGATTGATGTCTTCCTTTTAATATCATCGTCCATTCCTACGTCTTCCACAGTTCATTATTTTGCATCTGAGTATTTGATGTTGACTTGTTATAATTTGGATAAGAGATACTTTAGTACCAAGTGAAAGCCAAACGATAGACTAGTATACAAGCCCTTCAGCCAAAAAGTGTGATTTTTGGTGGCTGACTTGGAGTTTTAAATGCCTAAATTGTTGGATTGCATTGAGGTTACAATAAAGAGAAATCGAATAAATGGGCCATTGACACGATGCAGCCTGTAGGCACACATGATGAGACAAATGTATTATGTATTTGTTTAGTGTTATACACTATTTTTAAAGATTCAACATATTTGTTGGATTTCTTTTTCATCTGAGCTTTTATTTTTACTGTTTCAGGGAGATTTTCGCGCATATCTTAAAAGGAAAGGTTCATTAAGACCAACATCAGCATTAAAGTTTTCGCTTGACATTGCTAGGTCAGTCAAGTTGCTTGTACTCTGAATTTGTTTGCAATTTTTTTGTGGTGAACATCACAAATGCCTTATCTTGACATGGGATCTGAAATTTCCACACTGTATCATTGATTTGGAGTTTGATTACCTTTCTTGTAAGGAACTTGAGGTGTACTTTTTGAATGATATCTCGCAAATGTAATTTCTTTATTATTCTGAAATAGGTTATCTGACTTGAAGCATATCATCCCAAGTTCCTGGATTTCCTTTATTTGACACAAGTGCGGGACAAACTTTTCGAAGTTGCCAGCAGTTGAAAAATCATAAGGTCAGCTGCATGGTTGGCATTACCTCTGAGGATTACAGTCCCTATGGACACATCCCATTAAAATTGCGAATTCTAGATCCCTGTAGGACTAAAGAATTTCTGGGGAGGGAATTCAATAATGGTTAAATCATTGAATGGGCATGAAAACCTAGTTGGTTAGTTTTGGTGTTACCATTTATTTACTGGTGTCATGCTTATCTTTGTGTTGATCAACGTAAACAGTTTTTAAATGAAGTTTTGTGTTCTGGAAATCATAGTGGTGGGAGGTGGATGATTGCTACCTGTTGTAGCCGATTATTCATTGCATGTTTTCTCTTATCTTAATGAGCACTGTACTGAATTACATTTCAGGGGGATGAATTACCTCCATGAGCATAAACCTGAAGCAATAATTCATCGAGACCTGGAGCCCTCGTATGTTCTCGCACTCTCTCTCTTATATGTATTATTGCTGTTACATTTACTAGTAGAGAAATAGATGTATACCGACACGATCTCTATCTAATCTGACTCATAGATAAGCGATTGTAGATTTATCATCTTAGCTTAGCACGTAAGCATTCTACTTAAATGTGCGTGAATCATGCACTATCAATAACTAAATGATTGAAACTTTTGATCGTTTCTTAATTGTTCGTGAGTGAGATAACAGAAACATATTGCGGGATGATTCTGGGCATCTGAAAGTTGCAGACTTTGGGGTGAGCAAGCTACTGAAAGTTGCAAATACAGTTAAAGAAGACAGACCTGTGACGAGTCAAAAGTCTCAAGACACTTGTATGTTGCCTGCTTTTTTGAAAGTTCTCATACTTCATTTCTTTGATGAATGCTATCTTGTGTGTAAACCTACAGAGCCATCTGATATATATGTGTGTAAAACACTCACTGAAACATGACTTCCTGTTGCTGATATAATTCTAATGAACAGGGAGATATGTGGCTCCTGAGGTATACAGAAATGAAGAGTACGATACCAAGGTGGATGTTTTTTCATTTGCTTTGATTTTGCAAGAGGTACTCTCTCTCTCTCTCCCCCCCCCCCCCCCAAAAAAAAAAAAAAGGAAAACAGTATTGCAGTAACTACATATAGACACGATGTTAAGGGCATTTCTCCATACATTATCTTCTTTTAATATGCTTTTGTCTTTTATTCGTACGTGTATATATATGTTTGTACATTCATGCCAATGTCCAGCTTTTGAACTTTGTATTGTTGTATATTGGAACGGACTTCTTTCATGTGCCGTATACACTTTCTGGAAATTTTCATGGTTCCGAATGTCCTGTGTGAATCCAGCACTCAGTTGAATAGATTTGTATAAATGTTTTCCAGGTGAGAGGTGGTTTATTCTTGATGAACTGAGAAAAAGTTTTAATGGTTGAAAAAAATGTTTACATGTATTTTCCAGATGATTGAAGGTTGCGTACCATTTTCTACAAAGCCAGAAAAGGAAGTTCCTAAATCATATGTTGCAAATGAGCGCCCACCATTTAGAGCGCCACCAAAGCGTTATGCACACGGATTGAAGGAGTAAGTTGTTTGCAAACCTTTGATCTGCTGCTGTATATATGAAGTGTAATTTTCCTTTACATGTACTTATATAGCCAATCTTTTGTTCCTAATAATGATGTATTATGGGCCCAAAGAGTTAATGTCGTATTGGAGGGAAGTTTTTTGACAGGTCTCCCGGGCATTTTTGGCTCCTTAATCTTGAAACCAAAGAGCAATCCTGATAGGAAAAGTTTTGTAGTTTTCCTTCTCTTTTCCAACAAAAAGATTATATTGTGAATCTCCAAATTTTCTCGAGAATGCCTTGTTGCGATGCTCGAAATTCTCTTCTATGCTCTTCTATGGGGTAATTCCCTGTTAAGAAAGCTTAATTTAAGTTTGTATACTTTGTGTACAGGTTAATTGAGGAATGCTGGAGTAAGGACCCATCCGAGAGACCATCATTCAAGCAAATAATTAAGAGGTTGCATGACATTAATAACCAGTTTGCTCGGAAAAGACACTGGAAGGTGCAATTCTCTCTCTGCTTTAATAAGCTCGTTTTTTCCGATTGCCTTTCCTACATCTTCTGGAATTATTTCTTGTTGGCACACAGTGCAGAAAATTTATTCTTGTGTATAAATTGACTATTGAGTCACGTGCAAGTCAATTTGCTGTGATAGTAAATACACTTCCATAATATCGTGTATTTCGCACAGGTCACACCACTTACATGTCTCCGGAATCTCGAGGCCATGTTGAAGAAGGATCGGACAAGTCCAAGCAGCCGTTCATCTTCCTGCTCTACAATGAGATGAGCAACTACTGTTGTATTTCATGCAGGAATTAAGCTCTATTTTGGCCCGAACAATCGAGCTTTTTTCTAGCAGAGTATGGTTGTGAGATAGTTATACCTCTTATAGGATTTCAGCTTCTCTCTTTTAGGTGGGCCGAGAGACGCTGTTACACTTGCACCTACCGATTCTTGCATAAAGCATTTGTAGAGTTTCTCCGAACCCTCTTATCTTTTTTCTTCTTATTAACAATCATATTGAAATCCCATGTTTTGTTTGCTCTTTGGAATTCCCCCCCCTAGTTTTTATGGTTTATTCGGTGTTTACTCTTCTGATGAGACGGAACTTGAAGTCTTCGGACACGTTGTTGGAAGACGGGTTATATTCTCGCATGTGCATGTGCATGTGCATGTGCTTGCTTATGGTTTTTCTCTTGTGATTTAAACGACTGCAATGCCCAAAGCAGTTGGTCTAGAAATCCAGAGACATTTGGGAGGAGACTTGCAGCTATAACATTTGCAAGCTAACCAAACTGAACAATATTGTCCAGATAAATACATCTGTCGATTCGAAAAGGACCTAAATTGTACATGGCAATCGTACAAATCCACATGTGATTTGTTCTCCACATTGGCATCGTTTGATTGCCATGAGACGCACCGTGAAAGTTTCTCTAGGCCGAAAGCTAGGGAAACTTAGCCCTTTAGAATGCAGCGTCTACCCGAAGGGTTGACATAGCACTAAATAAACGCAACTGGGGAAGGGGAATCGGAACACAATGTTGCTTGGCGTTCGAGATAAAAACTCTTAACTACTTGAGACAGAAGCTCCTTGCCACAGCTGTGCAAAATACGAACAAACGCTTAAGCATCTAGCATCACATTGAAGGCACTCACACGAGCACAAGAACTCTCATAGTCGCATTGAACGAAAGCAAGTGAAGAAGGTAAGATAATAATTGGAAAACTTTGAGGATTCCTTAATCGGATGCAGTTTAGGGTACCTCTCCAAGATTAAATAGTGACTTTTGCTCTTGCACTGCAAACTATCTCAGTTGTTTTCCTGGTATTTTCTTCCTACAGTTGTTCCAAGTGTATGGTGGAACCGTTGCCCTCGTTCTCTACCTCCTCATCTTTGTTTCCCGGCCACCATTATCATTGCTACGATATTCTTTCTGGCTGACATTATCCTCAACCTCTTTGTCGTGTTCACTAGCAAACCTTAGGGTGCACCTTAATCTTGCTGGGATGGAAACCCGATATGTACAAGCCTTCCAAGCTTTTCACACGGGGATAAAGCTACATAAACTATTCCATATCCGAAAGATTTTGAGAGACTGGTGTGAAGATGGTCCAGAGTCATGCCCTGGCACTTGTGAATGCTTGAAGCCCAAGCCACTGTGAAAGTTGCTCCTCTCTTTGAGCAACTACTGGATCTCCCTCTGTCACATCCTATGTTTTTGTTTTAATCACCTTTGTCATCCCCAAATCAAATTTAACTACTGGTAGCAGCCCAGCATCGCATATGCTCATCCCTCCCACATCTTTGGTCTTAAGAAATGCCATAGCAGTGCCAGTTGCACAATTCACCTGGCCACGCTGTGTTCAAAATTTTTAGTGTTGTGCTAGGATCGCACCAAACCAATTGGAACCAACTCAATCTAACCCACATGAAATATATCAAATGAAATGCAAGAACAAAATATAAAAGACACCAAGATTTTAACAGGTTCCTCAACAATCAATATAACTAGAGTACGTTTCAACTAATAATTCACTATCAACCAAATGGGAGTTTATAAAGTGTTGACAATCTCATAATCCAAAACCCCAATACACCCAATAACTCTCACTCACCAAAGAAACAAATAGAGAAGGAAATATTGTGAATAATTTATTCTCTATACAAAACTCAAAACTAATACAACAAATACAACTTTGATGAAATGGTAGCTAACCAATGAAGGGAGCAACAACTCCTCCTTCTCTGAAATGGGGCTGCGGCAGTGGCTCTTTTAATTCTCTGTGCTGCTCTCTGTTTTCTGCTGCAGCTCAGACAAAATGGGCAGCAGCTGCTGCCAATTAAAAACCCTACCAGCCACATCACATGGCTTCCACGTGGGTTAAATAAAAGGTCCACTTTAAATGGGCTGTTGGGCTTACATATAAAGGTCCTTAGAATTTGGTCATATATTCAACAATCTTCACCTTGGTCAAATTCTCGAAAGTGCCATGATGAACCAAATTAATATAATCAACAATCAACACAAAACCACTCCCGAAAGTAGCAAGAGAACAACTCATGCTGAGCCAAAATGCTCCAAAGCTCCTACTACTCAACGCCTTCTTTATATAGGCAGAATGTGAGCTAAGTTCAAGCGATGTATTTGCATTCACTCTATTTACGTCTTGAACCCTTGGCTAGAATTGTACTGCAGAAGGATCTGGCTGGGAATCTGCGCAAGAATCTTCTAAAAACTTGAAGTCTTCAGGATAAATCTCCCCTGAAGTATCTTGATCAGTCAAGGGTCTGACTGCCGAAAAACCTTTGTAAGATTAACTTGTAAAATTAAAACTGGAATCCCAACAGTCTACTTCAAATGCAAATTCTTTACCCTCCGAATTCCACTCAGTTTATAAGGGTGGTAACTGAAAGAAATCCCCACCCACAACAGGCTGCATTCCACCCCACATTTCATCAACTTGTCGTTTTTTTTTTTTTTTTTGCAATGTATTCAAGACTATAAAACCTCCACGTCAACCATGCTAACCTCATCTATGACCAACGCCTCGGCCTTCAACCACCTCTTACAAGCCTCCTTGTTCACGAGAACCCTACTCAGCAAAGCTATCCTATCAGCATTGCCACATCCAATACCAGCGAAAGAGTGAAGGGTCTGCCCACGGATAGCACAAGCCGCAGCACCAGTAGGTGCTGTGACAAAAACCTTCGAAGGTGTATGACATCTTTTCAATGATAATGTGCTTAACCAACATCGTTTCTCCGGTCCCCGCGGAACCGGTAATGGACACAGATTTCCCCTCAGAAATGGCAGATATGACTTGTTTCTGGTGGTCGGTCCACTTAACTCTAGGAGTTTCGGGTTTGCATCTGAGGTTGTATGTATCCTGAACCCAATTAATGCTTTTTCCACTAGTTTTGGTGCTAAAATTTCTCTGCGTAGAAAATGCATGGCAATAAACTTCACACACAGCATTTTTTCCACTCAAAATCGTTTCTCCTCAGGATTTTGTCTAAAAACGCTTATTTTTCCTAAAATACACGCATTTAGCAACACTAACAGACGCAACAGTTGATCTGAAAAACAAGGAAAGATTGGAACTTTACTTTCACACAGTGCTCTGAAAACGGATTGGGAGAAATATAAGGACTTTCCGGCCAAACCCAAAAGTCACTGTCTCGATTCTCCAACATTTATCTCCGAGACTGAGAGTCTTATTTGAATTGGAAAACTGATGAAGTTGAACGCTTCTGGTTGAGGGTGACCGGGCTTGGGCTAGTTCTCTTCTTTTTAGGCCTTTTGAGCTTCGTGGGCAGGCTATGTTGATTTGGGCTTCATGAGCTACCTAGAGTTAGATTTGAAATTTCCTCATGTCATTGGTTTTAAGTTTTCTTGCTATTATGATTAATTATTTAATGGATATGAGAAATTAGATACCAAATATGTATATGGAAAAGAAAAAGAGTGATTTCCGAACTCTCATTTTCTCATGGTGCACTTTTTAGAGCACTTTCATGTTTTTTTGGCTTTTGAACTGAATAAAGTGAATGCGAATTGAGAAACAAAAACATGAGGATTAAATAAATATAAATTGCACAAAAAAAAAAAAGCTCTTGAATTGAAAATATTGGATCTAAAAGTTATATAAATGGAGAAATTACAATTGGTTACGCAGTCAAGCATGAAGCCATCGAGGGACCTCTTATATATTGAAATCTAATTAAACTGAGAGGCAAGGGGTTTATAGCCCAAATGCTTTAGAACATTTATTCTTGCACCCAAACAGCTTACCAAGAAGACATGTTGATAATTTAATTGTGTGGTTCTAATGAACTTTAGAAATTAATCAATTGGGAGCGTTAGGAAGATTTAAATCTCAGCTTTTATAGCATTCTAATTGTGATTAATTAGATAGAAACACAAAAGGTTTTAAATCTATATATGGTGGATAACTGGATATTAGGGAACTGGTTCCTCCAAATTATAAACCCTAGATAGCCAAAGCAAGCATTAAGCATGCATACAGGTAACACCCGGTTTTTGTTGTTTGTTTCTGTAAGTACAATATATATGATATATCAAAACATATAAAAATATATCTGAGATGGAGAATCCGTTTAGCAATTACTAACGAGTTATTATATGTAGTAAATTATGAGCTGCTGATCCTGTTGCAGCAGCAGACTCTCCGTCTGTGTTTGTGTGTGTGTGTATATATATATGGGTAATATATAAATGTGTGTGTGTCTATATATATATATATATACATATATATTTGTGTGTTAGAGAAAGAGAGATCTAGGGAGAGAGATAGAGACTGTGACGTATGAAGAAAAAAAGGTAAAGAAACGTCCATTAAGGTGAGACCGAAAATGACCAAACAAAAATTACAGAAACGAAAAAGGTGAAAATTAGTACACTCGCTTAGTTGCATTGCATGCACTGATGACTGATCACCTGGCACTGCACAAGATATATATCTATCATCGTCTACGGACTATGATTCTCTTTCATCATCTTTCCGTTCCCTTCCATCTCTTTCTCTCACATTTTCTATTTTGTCTTTCTTTTTTTATAAAAAAATTAATATAAGATGTTGACGTGACTTAACCATGACCGTTCAAATAGATGAGAGGGAAGGGGAGAAAATCCTACTCCTTGCTTCTAACTTAATTCATGTCCCATGTCTGGAAACCCAAACAGATGGGTCGATACATACCGCGCCCCTTGGACGTTGGATTTAGTCTTTCAGAGTTCGCATTAACCTAACTATGATTACATACTGTAATAAGTATTTTAGGGTAACCTACATGTCGTATGTATACTAATAATGACTTTCGGTTGTCAATCTAAACTATTGATAATCTGATTGTTTAGCTAGCTAGGTCTTGTGTTTATACATACACACATACATGTACATATATAGTTAGAACATGCAGGATTGATGAAGCATGCTCGGACAGAACAAATTGAAATGAACTTTGTGGCCGGCAAATTCATGTCGGTTGGAGTTTGGAATTTGGAGTCTTTGGATTAGATAATGTTAG